GCACAAGCAATAAGGACTAATTTTTTTTTTAATTTTTTCTGATCATACAACTCATTCTATGCAGGAAACTTGGAAGCCAAAAAAAGCATAGAGAAAATCCTCTACTATGCAAAATAATCCCTATTAATAACTTCTAATTTTTGGTCTTTAAAAAAAAAGGTTGGAATATTGTAGTTTGTGTCCTGTTTTTTAATGCTATTTTTTTTAACCTGAAAACATTTTAAAAAGCTCAAAATACCTTCACATGAATGAAGCAGTTTAACCAACCCCTTCCAATTTTCCACTATGAAATCCAGAAAGGACTATGTGGACCAGTATGTTTACATCATTATGGAGAGAGTATATGACCCTTTTAAGACTTTTTCTACTTATTTTCAAATCGCCTTTCAGAAAAGTTGTACAAATTTGCATTCTCAACAATACTGAGTTTCCTCACAGCAGTCCTGTCAGATTTTTATTAGTTTGATAAGAGAAAACCACATTGTTTAACTGTAAGGTTGGGCACTTTGCATGCTTAACCACTTTTATTGAGGCTTTCATGGTTTTGAGCAATCTTTTAAAATACCAATCGGATCAAGTCAAACACCTTCTGCTTAAAAGCTTTTATTTGCATAATATATTGCCGTCGATCTTCATTCCAGCCACTCTGGGCTTAGGGTTGCCGTGCTCTTTGGACACAGGCCTTTTGTACCAGCTACTCCCTCTGCAAACTCATCTACTGCCTAGTTCTTAATCATCTTTTAGCTCTTAGCTTAAGGGTCACTCCTCCCAGGGACTCACTGACAACTCTTAGGTCCTATTACCCTAGCATACATATTTGGAGCACCCTGCAGTCCTGCTGTACCAGCTGATTTCTCAAAAGAAACTTGCAGGCAAGAAGGGGCTCGAAAGAAGTATTCCAAGTCATGAAAGCCAAGGACCTACATCCAAGATTAATCTATCCAGCAAAGCTATCATTTAGAATGGAAGGGAAGACAAAGCGCTTCCCAGATAAGGTCAAGTTAAAGGAGTTCACCATCACCAAGCCCTTACTATATGAAACGTTAAAGGGACTTACTTAAGAAGAAAAAATATGAACAGTAAAATGACGACAAACTACTATCAACAAATGAACCTAAAAGAAAAGAAAATGGAAACAAAAACTAAGCAAACAACAAGAACAAAATCAGAGAAATGGACACCACAGGCAGGGTTTCCAGTGAGGTTGGAGAGGGAAAGAATGGGGAAAAGGCACAGGGAAGAAGCAGCGTAATTGGTAGGCATAAAATACACGGGAGAGGTCAAAAATGGTGTAGGAAACAGAGAACTCAAAGAACTTATGTGCAACCCATGGACATGAACTAAGTGGCAAGGGAGGAATGCTGGAGGCTTAGAGGGCACAGGGTGGAGGGGGGTAAGGGGGGCGACTGGGAAAACTATAATAGCATCAATATACTTAAAAAAAACCCAAAACTTTCCAAGAACCTGCCAATGACGCCGACGACATGATGCATAGCTGCTTTTTCACACCGTGTCAGATTGCTCTGTGAAGGCAAGAGCGGTGTTTTTCCCTATGTCTTCCTTAGTGTGCAACACACAGGCTGGAGCTGTGTGTGGAATCTATGATGCAGACCAGTGCTTTCCAACTCGTGTGCCACGAGAATTTTTAAAAACATGCTTGGTCAGGGGCGTTGACCTTCTCCCTTAGGTTGTCTAATAAAAAACTGACAACAGCCGGCACAACAGCTGCCCGGTGTCAATGAATCAAAATCATACTTATATTTTTGTCAGATCAGCAAAATATACATATATTTTTGGTGTGGCACAGAATTTTGGTAGTTTGTATCCCATGAGGTGAAAAAGGCTGAAAATCACAGATGTAGAAAGTATGACCAAAAGCTACGCCACTGGAAGACCAGTCTGTGGTGTTTAAATCAACTGGTGTGCACAGAATCGAAGGAACACTTGAGACTATTCAGAGGTCAGAGTAACATTGCTGGGGAGAGTTAGGTTTTATTGCAAAGATGATACAGAAGAAACAGCAATTGTTTGAGAATGGAGAGGGAGCAAGAGCAAAGCATTCATGAAAGGTGGCTTCCATATTCAAGGCTTAGTATCTCTAAGATAGGAAAAATGGGAGTGCTATTGAAACGGCAAAAATGAGGTCTGGTTAGACACAGGATGAATACCCTTTCCTCACTCCCTCCCCCAAGCAAAGTCAGTCACATCCTCTTCTCTGCTCCTACTGTATTTTACTTTCTGGTTAAGCAATTACTTCCATGTGGTATATAAATGTTTACATCTGTGAGCTCAGCGACACACCCCAAGCCACGAACTGACTTGGGCACCTACCAACTCTAGGTCTGAATCCTGGCCAAATCACCAATAGCTGTGTAACTAATTCAGTTAATGCCTTAAATTTTTTTTTTCATTTATTTACTGATTTGAAACTTCAGTTTGTTGTTCCATTTATTTTTTTCTGAAGATTTTATTTTTAGAGAGGGGGGAAGGGAGGAAGAGAAACATCAATGTGTGGCTGACTCTCGAGTGTCCCCTCCTGAGTACCTGGCGTACAACCCAGACATATGCCCTGACTGGGAATTGAACCAGTGACCTTGATGTATCCAGATGATGCTCTTACCTACTGAGCTACCTGGCCAGAGCACAGTTAATGCTTTATGCATCTCAACTTTCTCATTAGAGAACAAAGATAATTATTAGCTTTGCTTTTATAGATCAAATGAGGTAACACATAAAATGTTTGAGTCCCTGAAACATTACAAGCTTAATGTTAATTTTGTACTATTCTTTTTGAAGACTGTGGAATGAATAAACTTGGTATGTGAAGAACACAAGAATTCCTTAGGAAAAGTAGGTATGCAATGTTTGATGAGATGAATGTCCAGTAAGATCTTATAAAACAAGAACAATTTTATATACTCAGTCACAATTATCAAAGGTGAAATTATTAATCTCAGGAACTGCGGTGGGACTATAAATTAGTATACTCCTTCTAGAAAGCAATTTGGCAACATCTATCCAAATTAAAATGCACACATCTTGAAATTCAATGTAACCTCATACACAAGAAGGTTCATAGAAATAAGTCACAAAGGATGTTCATTAAAACACTGTCTCTAATAGCTAACAGAAGAACATAATAGAGCCATTACAACACAGAACATGGACAACAGAATATATTTTCGATTTCTTAAGGGACCTAGAGATGCAGTTTCATAGAATATAATTTATGTGGCTGGGGAAACTGATTATCCTGGAACCCCATAAAGCATCTTTGTAAATGTGCTTAAGACCATGAGAACATAAAGAAACATCTTTCTGATGGTTCTCTCTGGATAGACAAACCAGCTTTGGGAAATGATGGGAGTTTTACACGAACTATAATAGAATTTTTAAATTTATGGGGAAATAAAAAATGATTGACCAAGCTATTCTACTTCCAGGAGTTAATCCCCAGAAAAATATCTGAAATGGGCACAATTTATGTAGTCAGATGTTTACATCAGTTTTATTTATGTTAGTACAATCTATATTTTACTAATTTATTTACCTGTATTAGTAAGAACAGCTTATCCAACAGAAGGCTGTTTCAGGTTAAGGAATATCTGGGTAATCGAATGTTTATATAGCCATTAAAAATCATGCTGTAGAATAATTTTTATTAAAATGGCAACTTCTCAATACCTCATTAAATGAAAAGGGTGTTACAACAATTTATATGCAATTTCATCAGTATTAATAGTGGTTACTTTTAAATGGTAGAATTATGATTTTCCTCCTTTTGTTATTCTGTTTCTTCCATCTTTACTAATTTTTTCAGTTACTACAGATTTTCTTTTTTACAGTGATTATGTAATTAGGAAAAAATGCTAATAAAATAGATGCTTATAGCTAACTCTAAGCTTGCTTTACAACTTGGACATTAATATAACTACGATGCTAGTTACTTTGGTGCAAACTCAAGAAATCAACAAATGTTTGGAAAGAGTTATAATGAAGTAAAAGTCCATTTCACAGGAATCTTAATAAAATGTTAACGACACTACATTGTTTATCAAAAGAATTTATTAGAAAATAGTACACACTACACGTCTGCTTATGAAAGAGCACGGATTCGGCAGCCAGCACTCCACCCTCAGACAGCGTCTCCTGCCCACGGGCAGCCCTGTGCTTCTGAAGCTGCACCTTGCAGATGGGACCTTCCAGCAGTGCACACTGTGACCATTTACCATCCAAAGGAAGACGATGAAGAAAATGTGGTAAGTACCAGGGGCAAAAGCACAAAAATTTGGAATGTTCAAATAATAAGTAACTACTTTCAGTCTCAAATTTCTAGGCATCACTGTAGCCTCAAACATTGGTCAATGTGACTATTAAGTTAAAGGGACCAAAGTTTCAAAGGTCAAGTTAATACTGAATCTTCATAAATACTGTGATCCCACAAAATGTTTTTGATTAAATTTATGTCCATGCAGAATTAACATAAATTTCTGAAAAAAGCAAGAATGGGGAATGTTAAAAGCAATGTATTTTTAACATAAAGCATGCACTTTCTAATACATTCTTAAATATTGCAAAGTTTTAAAAGTTTGAACTCTAATCCAGTAACATTCTTCACTAGCTATTTTAAATGCGGTCTACCCAGCACCCCAACCAGATGTGGGACACACACTTGTTATTTGAAAGCAAGACAAACGTAACTCCTGGCAGCGCTAGTGATGATATGCAGCTTGATCACACCACACCACCTAGTCTTTCTTCAGAACTTATTTTAAATGTTTGCAAAAGATAACTGGTGTAAAGCAAATTTTAAGATGTCACCCAACCCCCAAACATCACTGAAAGAAAATGAAGGGAAAAAGTAGGTATTCTCTGACGAATCAGTTCAGGCAACGTGCTACAAAATCTTCAGAGTGTGAACCAGCTTTAACTCAAAATAGATTTAAAGTTCACACAATTGTTTTTACAGCTTGAAACTAAAACAAATGAGGATGTGTGCATTGATATTTAAAAGTCTTAATATTTTATTGGAAGAAATATACTTCTAAACTTCATTCCCCATCTTCATCTAAACACAAACTTTAATTAAAAATATATACAAATCAGTAGAATACCTGTATTACTAATGCCCAGAAATGCAGAATAAAGATCAAAACTCCTTGGAAATATTTCTAACAGTTTTTGGGATTACACTCATAATCTAATAAAGATTATGAACTAGCACAATCATTACTGGGAACATAGTTTCAAAATATTTTGCCTATCAAAGCTAGCACCAGGAAAGTATTGTGCACATGAAAATTGAGAAACACATAATCTTTATTCACAAAATCACAGCCCTACAGAGTATTGCTCTTGCTTGTTCAGCCAGTAGCAGGGCCAGTCTGTCTCACTGAAGCTTCTCTCTATCTTGAGTCACTAACACCTAAGCAGCTTTCCAGTTATTTGGTGTCTATTGAAAATTGTTACTAGAATAAAAGATTATCATGAAAGACAACCAATTTTTTCTTCCAAAATGCCAATTAAAACAATGGCACTATAACACTTTTCACTTACCTTTTATAAAAATTAACATATTCTAGTATTTAAAAAAAACAACCAAATCCCTAGTCCCTGAAGGCCTAACCAAAACTCCGTGACTTAATTCCTCTCTCTTTCCAAGACACAAGTGTTAACGTGTCTAGACTTTTGCAACATGTTCAGCGGCCATCATGTGGTCACCAAACCAACACTTCGTTCATTGTGAAGCATTTGGAGATTTTTCAGGTGTGAAAAGAATTTCATTAGTGATTGGACAGATGAACAACAACCTGAAAACCACTGAAGTGAAACGCATAATTCTACCATAGTCCCAAGGGAGGGTCACCACCACTTAACAGCAGTTCTCCAGTTGGCACAGTTAATTCATCATCTCCCATCGGTAGGAAATAGGAAAGGAGGTAATTTTTACAAAGTCAGCACTTTCTCCAAACTGGTCTTCTAAATTCAGAAAAGAAGTTATACTGCCAAAGTTGTCAACCTAGCAAGCCAAACCGCTTCATCTCAGTAGGGGGAAAAAAGGCACAAAGAAAAACAAGCAGCATACCCTTTATTTGGTGATACAATGGGTCAACAGTGTTCCAAAGTTTTGAACACTGAATTTTTACTCAGGTGATAATTTGTTTTTTATCTAAGCAATTTATTCAGATGTGTGCTTTAAAAATACAGATTAGGAACCCTGCAGTTGGTATGTTCTGTTATTAGAAGTATTTCTCATGGTAATACATTACTTAACTCTCTATAATTAGAGGGGAAAATCATATAGTTCATACTTTATTTTTAGCCTAGCAGAATAAATGTATTATATGTACATCTCTTCCAAAACCAGTGCACTTAGGAATCTCTAATTTATGCACTCCACCGTCCAAATTAAAATGCTGTACACCACCTTCAGTATCCACACTGCGACATAGTCCTAGTAAAAATGCACATTCCTTTAACCCCTTTACTTTCCCTTGAAATTGCTTGTACTGAGAAGGGAGGAGGAAAGGATATAGAAGTTGCAGTGCAGAACTAGCATTTATTTTGAACAAAACATTATATCCTATGTTAAAAAAAATAACTTTATCAAAACCAAATTTCAATCACAGTTGTGTACGATTTTCAGTTAAAGGTACTAGTTGAAATTGCACTTGGCAGGTATCTTGATAGTGTCCTCTACAGCGCTCTCCACTTCAGCCTATGTTTTTCTCAGTAGACACAGGTTCTTCCAGAGTTTTCTTTTGGCTTCCCTTCCGTGAATATTTGTATTTGTCTACGTAGGCTTTAACCAAATTTGCCACTTTAGTAGAATTGACTTCTCCACTCTTACTATGACAAACCTATGAAAAAATGAGGGGAATTTTTTTCATAGTTAAAGGGAATAAAATGGAGAGCTTGGTGAAAAACAACTAACCCCAAACAAGACATTTTTCCGTATTTCATATCTCATATGAACTTACTCAAAAGGTAAAAAAGCAGGCAAGAATTAGAAGAAGCTAACCCTTATTATTTTGCATAGACTTAAGCATTCCTTTATCAAACTAGAGAAGGCTGACAACAGTGCAAACAGAACTCCACTAAAGCCGTAACTTACTTTATCTACTGCTTTTCGTACGATCTCTTTATATTCTTCCTTGGTGATATCTTTATTTTGGTAAAATGGCTTAATGGCCAGTTTTACCTCCTGTGCTGCTTTCTCTTGAATTTGCAATTTCTGGTAAGAGGAAAATGTGTAATTATTATTTGTACAATCACATACTTCCAAAAAATTTTTTTAAAGATATAAAATTAAAAGCACTCTGAATTTCTATTATTAGAAGGAGCTCATCAAATATTAGTACTGTGAACACAAAATTTATTTACTAACATATCAAAAATTTCTAAAAATAATTACGAAGCATTATTAGTAACTTACTGAGCATCAACATATCTAGATAGAACGCTTCAAATAATATTAGATTTTAAGACTAGCAATAAATTCCCTTTACCACTTATACAATAGAAAGTTGTTATTTTTCAACTTTATCAGATACAAAATTATGTAGGTTGCTCTCAACCTTGAACTTGCCTTGTCTGTCTTCGAGCTATCTGCGCTGGCTTCCACTGTAACACTTACTTTGCTTTCTGCCAATTTTACAGCAGCATCAGAGGCTTTGCTGTGACTCGATGATGAAGTATTACCAGAACTTGGTCCCTGAACTGTTTCCGAATTTCCCGGGGCTGCTGCTGGAGCAGGCAAGACTGGTGTGCTCATGTTATTACTTACATGAGAAGCACCAGGAGTACCCTGTTTTAAAGAATTGTAATCAGTTAATGAATTATTTGTATTCACTAGAAGACTTTTAGCCACGTATTAGAAATAACATTAAAAAATTTCAAAGCACCCTGGCTGGTGTAGCTCAGTGGATTGAGTGCAGGCTGTGAACCAAAGGGTCGCTGGTTCAATTCCCAGTAAGGGCACATGCCTGGGTTGCAGGCCAGGTCCCCAGTTGGGGGCTATGTGAGAGGCAACCACAGATTGATGTTTCTCTCCCTCTCTTTCTCCTTCCCTTCCCCTCTCTCTAAAAATAAATAAATAAAATATCTTAAAACGTTCAAAGCAATTCAACCTTAGTACTTAAGAGAAATGTGTATTTCAGGTCATTCCTATCTAAAGGACTCTGAAGAAAAATGGGCAACATTCTTCAACAGAACCCTATTTAAATATGTCAATGTGACTTTTAAGTTATATGTATATTGTAATGTTCTGATACCAACACTAAAAACAGGAATAACATTTAAAGGACAGTATCTTTCCTGCAAAGCTCTTTATGAAAATTAACTAAAGTAAGTGCCCCCCTTTAAAGATGGGAGAAAATAAGGCAGTGAAGTCAAATGGCTTGCAGTGTTGACAGCAGAAAAAGATTTAAGATCCCATATTCTGGAATCTCCTTCCCCTGTTCCTCCAACTATACCTTGCTGCCAGGACTCCAGAATTTCTGAAATGTAGTATAAAACTACAAGCAACACATGTTTATGAATTATTATTCAAAGTATCTACATGCCTCAGAGGCACCCCTTTCTTTTTAGTGAAAATGAAGCACAGGTAGTGATGGATAATATACGGCTTTAACTGGCATCTTTCAAACAAGACAATACAAGCCTCATCACAATACTTTTTCACAAGTCCCCATCCCCAAAGTGTCCAATAAACTAGGGAAGAATTTTAAAGCACCCACGACTTGATTCTAGTTTGACCCGTGATCTGGTCTTCTTAATCTGAAAAAAAATGTTTGGATGTCAATGACTGCATTATGTAGCCTAGACTTGATAATATACATTTTCTTACATGGAAGGTGGGAGGTTTGGGGAAAAATCATGAAAGAAGGGTTATGAAGGTTTACCATAAATCTAATCAAGTAATTGTTTTGGATGCCAGGAAGCCCCTTCTTGAACACCTGTCCCTAATAGCTGAATGTTTACAATGGCTATGTTGACTGAACTTGAGTTGCCGAAAACATACCTGCAACTGCTTTCCATCTGTCTGTGAAGCCATGTAGTTGACTTGCTGGGATGGCGGGGGAGGGGGTGGCGGCGGTGGTAGTCCCTGAGATACACTGGTAGGAGCAGCTACCTGCATGAGAGGTACTCCTGTGTGCAGATGCAAGGGTAGCTGAGGATGAATATTATATGGACCACGTTGGATGTTCATCAAAGGAGCGTGAACACCCACTGGGTATGGGAAGATATTCATAGGCTGGTGGTGTTGTGCATTCATCTGTTGCTGCATTACATTCATTTGTGGTTGCATCATATTTATAGGTAGCTGAGAACCATCACCTTGTTGGTTTGTTTGGTCTTTTAGGTTAGAATCTATCAAAAGAAAAAAAGCTTGTAAAAAAATCACATTACAGGTTTCTTCAGACAGAGAAGCAAAGAACCACTGATTATAGTAAAATTAAATAGCAATTAACAGACTCAGACCACCTAAACCAATGTGCAATTATCTGACTTAATTCCATCATTTCTAAATAATGTGGGCTTGTTTTCCAAATGAAAACATTCAACTAAAATAATTTTTAATAAGGTTAGATAACATCCATCAATATTATCAAAGAATCAGTACCTCAAGAAACTTACTAACTAGTTAGTGAAACAAATACAAAATTTATTTAGACTACTAAATTAGAAGCTAATCAATTTTTAATCTTCAACAGCTTCTTTCTTGCAATGTTAACCAAAAACAAGCCAAGCAAAGATAAATCTTTATTAGAAGAGTTACTTATTTATGTAAGAACAATGATCAAAATAATTCAAGTGCACACGTTTGAAATAAAAGAAATAGAAGTTAAAACGTGCATAGAAACACCCCAAATTCTTCTACTATAGCAAACTGTACCTAAAATATTACAGTTTTTGGCAAGGTTTGGGGCACAAATGGGATGAAAGGATATTAATGTGTATGTACATTTACATAATGTACAGTGACTGGTAAACAACTGGGATTCAGTTTAACATTCTAAAATTATAAAAAGGGGTCATTTCAATTCATACAAATAATGCATTAACTTATAATCTCTTTCCTCAAATAAAAGTGTTAATTAATAAACAGAACATGTTACCCTGTTCAACGGTCTCCTCTTCTTGTCTCATCCATCCAGACTGTGAACCTGAAGGATTCCTCCCTCGTCGTGAATAATAGTTCTGTACATCTGCTGGCAGAGTCTTTCTCACAGCCCAACTAGATGCAGATGTCCACCCGGACCTGTCTGCCGGTGTATCAAATGAGAACTCTTGCTCATTTTTCCGTTTATACGGTTGCTGTTCCACAAACTTGAAAGACTCATTCCCTGAATCATTTGAATTCCCTGAGAGCGGTTTTCGGTTTTGCCACCGATTTTCATTTTGATCCGTATAGGCAAAACTACCTCTGTAAGTGCCTCTGCCACGGTTACCTCTACCACGGTTAGACATCCAACCTGAACCAAAGTTTTTATTCCAAGAATTCCCTGAATTTTCATTTCTATTTTCTTCCCAGTGGGAATTTTTTAACTTTTCTGGATTCCTGGTCCTTGGATCAGGCCCAGAATTTATTTTTTCTGTTACCCAACTGGGACAGTCATTTCTATGTTTGTCAGCAGAATTTGGATAGTCAGCATCTGAACTGATGTCATTTTTTTCTTTTCTTGTATTTTCATTCTGTTTCTCTGGGTCATTCTTTCTGTACCGATCATTTCCTCGTGGACATCTCCATCCATCATTTGCCCATCTTTCCTTCCACCGAGGAGAGTAACTGTCTCTGTCAGTTCTACCAAATGATGAACTCTTACTTTTTGTTCTAGATCTTGATGGTGACCTAGAACGAGATCTGGACCTAGACCACCTTCTGGTTCTCCTCTCTCTCTCTCTCTCTCGGTCTCTCTTCGCCCCATCTCTATCACTTTCTCTTTCTCTGCTCCGGGACCTGGATTTTTCTCTTGGGGAGGAATCTTTCACTCTTGACTGAGACCTTCTGTTCTCTCTAGAAGTCTCTCTCTTTGGGGAGAGTGATTCTGATCTTTTGCCTTCTCTAGTGCTCTCTCTTTTTGGAGATCGAGACTGCGATCGCCTTTTTTCTCTTGCAACATCCTTTTTTGGGGACTGAGAACGAGATTTTCTCCGTCCTCTTGCGGATTCTTTCTTGGGAGATGGTGATCTAGACTTCCTGCTTTCTTTTCCAGTGTCTCTTTTGGGGGATGGAGATTGAGACTGCTTCCTTTCTCGTCCAGTGTCTTTGTTAGGAGACCAAGTTGTAGATGGGGAATGAAATCTAGATCTTCGAGTACGAGGCTTTTTGGCTTTATCTATCATCTCTATTGGGCTTTCAAATGGTTGAGATACCACTTCAACCTTTTCACTTACAGAATCAGAAGATGGCACATTATTTTGAGAACTTCCCTCTGCTGAGCTTTTATTCAATTGTTTAGCATCAGCATTTACAGCCAGTTCAATTCCAGATTCATTCTGGTCACTGCAAAATGAATCACATTCCATAGGTATCATCTCATTATTGTCTTCACTAGAATGCTGCTGAATCTGTTCAATGTGTGTGTTAGGCAATTCTGTAGATCCGGGATGTTCAACCAAAGACTCAGTCTTTTCTTCTAAAGATTCGTCTAATTTGGTATTAAGATTATTTTTTAATAAATTATTTTCAGAGTCTTGACTACTACTGAAATTTTCATTCCCTGAAGTATCACACACTGCAGTTATTTCTGCATCTTCAGTTTCAACATGCACAGGTAACTGAATCTCTGAGCTCTCAACAGATGTTTTGTCCACTGTTTGTATAATTTCACCTTCAGGGTCTTCAGAAGACTCTAATTTTGGGCTGTGTAGAAGCTGTTCTGCTTTTACTATAGTATCTTTATGATCAATAATTTCTACTATAGGACTCACTATAACCTTTTCATCATTAACATTTATTATTGCTTCTTCATTAACCTCTACAACATTTTCCTTACTAACCACCAGCTCTGCATTCTCAGATGAGTCACCTAGGCTTGGTATAGGTTGGTGTACTTCAATTTCAGATGTTGAACATGTGAGAAAATCATTTGGAGGATGATCTGTACATGTATCTGCTTTTAACTCTGATTCTGAAGGTTCAGATATTGGGTCTTGATTTTCTAATGGATCACCTTCTTTTTCAGAAATATTTTTAGATATCTCACTTTCTAAACAAAAAACATTAGCTTTGATATCTGTATTCTCAACTTTTTGAACTTCCTCCTCCTCCTCTCCAACTAGCACAGGATCTTCTTGAGTACAAGACTCAGAATGTGAAGCTTCTACTCTTTCCTCTGTATCGTGGTTCTCAGTATGTTCCTCACTTTCTTCTGTTTGCTCACTGCAACCTTTCAAGCCATTAGCAGACTTATCTTCTACATCTGTCTGCACAGTACAAGCATTACTATTTTCTTCATCTGATTGGTGTTCTTTCTCTAAAACAGGTGGTGTGTCAGATTCTGCTGTTTCATCTGCTGAATCACTGGAAGATGATTTTTCAGGGAGAGGTACAGAACTCCGAAGTTTCTTTTTCAGTAAAGGTGGTTTTCTTCCTCTTCTTACAGACTTCCGTTTTGGAGCCTGTCTTGTTTGCTTTTCAGACTCAGCTGAAGAAGAAACACTTACAGGTGGATTATTGTTATCTGGGGCATCACACCCAGAATTATTTGATACTGGGGATCTCTGAGACTGAGTGACGGTTTCAGCTCTCGTGTTACGTGTAGATCTCCTTGTAGGAGTTGTTGCTGCAGGTTTTCGTCTTGATCCTCTGGTATTTGATGTACCAGAAGTTTGCTTCTTTTCTTCTCCTTCTTGAGTATGTGCTAATGCATATCCCTTGTAAGAAGTACCTAATAACATATATTTTTTAAAAAAGTAAAGGCATATGTTTTAATAAATGATAACAGTTTGGCTTTAGCTTATTTTACATAAAAATAGATATATATAATAGAATAAAACAAAATATATTTATGAATAAATGTATAGCTACTAATATCTGAGTAATATCAGGTGTTTATCAGCTTCCTTTAATGCTACTGAAATAAGTTATCACAAAATTTGAATCCACATGGGCAATTTTAAAGGGAAAAAACAAGAAAATATGTTTGGTCTGATAACTGCCATATGCTTTATGAATTGATATTACCTAGGCAAAATACAAGAAAAAACAAGTTATCCACATATAAAGACTCAAATTATTTGTCAATAATTAATAGGAAGTAGGAGATGGTACTTCTAAAGATCTACGGTTTGGATACTAAAGCCCTAAACAGAAAGGAGACTTCTAATCAGTCCTTGAAAACATTAACTTGTAATTTCTTAAGTAAGAGGGATTTTCTAGTTTGAACAATTTAAAAGTCAAGCCACTGTCCAAATCTTTAGGACTTACCACTTAAACCTTATTTATAGTTTTTCTAAGCCATCAACACTCACTTTTAAGAGACTGAAAAGAAGCTCATAATTTTTAAAAAAGTAGAAAAAAACTTCACAAACTTTACCAAAGTTCTCTAATGATATGGTACTTGTTGGAAAAATAGTTCTTGGCATCACAGAAGAGATGAGAGGAAGGACTTCTGTTCCAATATTCCAGGGTATAAAACCAATTCTGAAAATTCAAAACAAAAAATAAAGACATTTTTGTTCAAATGGTTTAAAACATTAAACCACAGAATTTCCCAAATCAGGTTAGGGATCTTAAAATACATTGTGCCTAAATTATATTGTGCCCAAATAGGTAAAAGTAAATTCATTGTTCAAGGATGGCTACCAACTAGCTGCAAAGAAAAAAAAACTTTAAATACATGTTTTTTAGATAAATTAATGGAAAATGGAAATCAAGGTCAACTTACACAATAGTTGTTTCTACTTAAAATAATTCAATATTTTGTCAAGATTTTTTAGCTGTTATTTTCTTTGCTATTCTAAAAAAGTCACTTGAACAATAAAATACATAGATTTTAAGTGTACAGTTTGATGACTTTCAATCACCATCTGTATTTGCATAACCCCAATACAAAAGTAGGTCATTTCCACCACTCCAGAAAGCACGGTCATGCTTCTCACACCCTACTTCTTTCCCAGGCAACCAAAGATTTCTGTCAAATTAATCATATCAAGGTTTTAAAGAAATTAGCAAGATCAAAGGGAAATCTGTCCACAAATAAGTAAAAACTGAAATAGTGGACCTTAAGGTGTATTACTTGAATTTTGAAGCATTTCATAGATGACATCACAGTTTTTGTCACGTCTTTGTTTTATAGTGTAGATCAAGCCCCCGAACATCAAAATATGTAAATTTTTTAAAAACCCGATTTCTGTTGCTATACTACATTTTCAAATTCCTCCATTTAACGATGGTGGCTCTTCAAAGTTCCTTGTGTCCCTAAGGACACAAGCTTCTGCATCCAAACCTAATCTACTCTCAGCTTCTTTTCTGATTCATATTTGTTCATCAGTTCAGGTCCCCTAACAAGACTATCTTACCCAATACAAGGTGAGATTCTAGAGTAGGGGCAGAGAAGCTTGAAAAAAAATGTGTAACATGTACATGTACACAAATACGTAACTCCAAGAAAAGGTTTCATATTATACATATCTGGACTTCCTAATTTTACTTCTATTTGTTCCAAAGTCATTCCAAGTGTGTAGGGCCCTATGCAGAACTACACTGCAGTGATATATAAAATAAAGTTACAAGTAATAGGCAACAACCTTGATCTTTATGTATAAGCTTGATTTATGTACAAGCTTGATTTAAGTATATATCATGTACCTAGCAAAGTGCTAGTAGTCTCAGGACTTAAATTAAAGAAATAGCTACATCATATAAAGTCATAAATGCCAAGGCACAGTAGGGACTTGATCAAATAATTATTTAAAAGAACACTGTGGAAGGGGAACACCACAATGAAAGCAGTGAATCAGCTAATGGCACATAGGTAAGATTGGAATGGGGAAAAAGTGGAGGGAGGACTGATCTGAATACTATACTAACAATGAATCTTATCATTTAGGTACTCTCCCTTTTAAACAAATCAAATATCTAAATTTTAAACAAGTTAAAAAAACCTTTAAGGGGCTCTTGAAATAGCAAGCTTTGTTAGACATTTGAAACACCAAAGTATAATTTCCACAAAACTGTCTTAGCAACATAATTACTAAATAAGATACATTTGTACTTAAATATTAATGATATGCTCATGCTAGCATTTGAACACTTCAGTAAACAATTCTTTTACCTTCCAATTCCAGGTAATGTATCAGGAAACCATGACAATTCCAGTTCCTGTCTCTTCTGCCTAATTAATGCACTGATTTCATTGACTTCTATAAATTCTGTACTAAAAGATAAATTTTACACCTTCGTCAGAATTCCAAAAATTTAAGTTTGGAGAAACAAATGGGTTCATGATATATGCAGTTATTTTCATACCTAGCATTATAAATCACATTTAAAAGAATTAGAACCTTTTTCTATTGAAACACTTTAAAAATGAACTCATTCCTAAAGTTAGTCAAATAATGCTTGAATTTCTATTTAAATGATAGAATTTTTTGAAAATCAGACTAATGTCATTATTGAGAGAAAAACAACCAACACTGGTTCTAGCCCATGAACCAAAGCTACGGCAAGCAGTTCCAGCAGAAACCGTAGGTGTAATAGTTCCCATCTGAAACTACGCAAAGAACAAAAGAAGAAAATCAAAGAAGGTACGGTTCCTGTAACAAAAAAATGGGTATAGTTCAGCTTCTCAAAGGCCATTCAGATGTAACTGCTTTCTTTGGTGCCTTGCTAAACTCATAAATTAAATCATAATCTGTCTTGTTAGTTCAACCAACTCTGTGTGATTTTAAAATTCCAATCTAGTTATCAAAGTCCACAGACATCTATTTAGTATTGACTTCCAGTCACTATGGATTGAAGATGACTGGATCTACTTTGAAAGGGCTCTGCTTTTTAGGTACTACTGCCACAACGGAAGGAGCAGCCTACATTTCTATCATCACATAAAAAGCCTCAGTAGAACAACTTAATTTATTATTAATGGAAACAAAGCCCCACCAGCAGAGGCAGTCACTGCATGATAGAGAACACCACAAAATGATAGGTTTTTTTCTTTGCTAAAACTAGTTTACTTTCCAAAAGAAATAAAAACAGAAACAAGGTGGGCTTTCATGTTTGTTTAGCCTGAGTTTCAATTTCTACCAAAGTTAATTATAACTAAAGCATCAAGTATAAAAAGCATAAATTAATCGTAGAAAATACTAACCAGTAAGCTCTACAGGTAAAAGAAGATTCTCCAGTGTGGCTGCTAGAAGAAAACATATTGGAGAGAAAATTTCTGAAGTACTGACTTGTACACTGATTTGATCTTCGAGGCTAGAAAAGTAAAAAGAGGTTACTGGAACAGCAAACAAAAAACCTCCATAATAGTATGTAGTAGCTGTGCTTAAATACCAGGTATCACATGTATTTGTACCTGAGGTATTAATGTTCTGTACTAAACAACCATAATACTTTAGTATTATCCAAGAAAAAAATTTTTCAACAAACCTTTATCTTTATTGTTGCATTTTTCTTTCCTCCCATTTCACTGTATTTAGTTTTTCCTGTACAAAAACACAAAAAGACTTGGTTACCTTGTCCTAATGTTTATTTTAAAAGGTTGTAAAACCAATACGGATACCTTCATATTGACAAAATAAAGTTAAAGTATGTAGAAAAGTTGCATTTAAAATAACACTACTTACAATTACATATTTTTTCCAGATGCTAATTTTATCTTATCTTATTAAGCCACAGATATAAAAATATAAGAGGCCACAATAAACGAGACTGGGAAAGCATTTAATTCTGCTATGCTTAGAGCAGGAGTATTAAAGTTTTAGTCAACATTTTCTGGCACCCTATGCAAATTTAAACTACCTTGCAACAAAAAAAGTATATGTAACAAGTCAAATTACTTCATTATCAATAATGCACTTCTTATGTCCTTTTCCAGCTATGACCTAAGAAACAGGTCCTGTTAACTCACCTCAAGCAAGAGCCAACCAGGGGAACTGGGGCCATTTAACCACAGGCACCATCTTCCAGTAAGTGCCCTCTTTCCTCCTCACACTTTACATAATTACAATTAGGAAAAGCAGAAGTGTTGATTAAAACACCTTTCTGTTACAGAAATGTTTCTGGCTGCACTGCTCATGACTTACTTTTTAGCATTATCTGTCCCATCTGGGAATTTATTTCTATGAATACATACTTCCAGGTTAAGGAGTATAAAGAATAATTTCTGCTAACCACAAAAATTGTGTTAGCATCTTTATAGTTCACTGCTCTTGGTTTTCCTTCAGATACCAGTCAATACACTTGCTGTCTGCAATGAGCTGCGCTAGTACTGTCCTCCCTCTCTCCTCACAACTCCGGGAAAAGTCTATAATGTCACTGACAACTGGTCTTTCCCTCTTCGCCCTTGCTTGCCATGAGGGCTTACTGGCTGTTCAAAAGAGATCACCCTAATTAGGTGGCCAGTTTCATGCTATTAGATGACCATATGTATCTGGGGTTTCTTCTGTCAGTCCAGTTGGTTATAGCCTATTTTTTTTTTTTTACTTAATAGCATACTAATTTCATTTTAAGTTACTATGCACAACTGTTTGCTTCCGTGCTAGTATCCATCCTTCACACACGTCCCACCCAGAGCTGTTGTAACAAATAATTTCAACACTGGGGAGTGGAATGCTGGCTGAGTCTCAGGAACTTATCTTCCTACCCTTTGATGTATATTTAAAAGATTTTAAACATTGCTTAAAGCAGCCAGAAATAAAAATGTGTGCTATGTACCCTGCCACTTTCTTAGAATTAACTATTTCCTTAGCTAGACAGAGAACTGCTGTATTGCAACCACACAGTGTCTCTTATTCCCTAAAGGTACTGAACTGTTTTCATTCAGGTTTCCTTCACTCAAGACTTAATGTGTGTGTACTGTTTACATAGCATTTCTTCACTTGAAAGCCTACCTTGGGAAGCCAGCATTAGTCAAAATGCTCTCTACGGGAAGAACTGTCAGTCTTCTGACCAACACTAAGTGCGAAAATCTAGTCTAAAAGCTGTTTCACAAGTTTCTGTGTGATTCTGAGATAATAACTAAGCAGCTCCAATAATAATATCAAAAGTGTTCAGTACGAGTTGATTTGTCTGAATTGTGGTTTCTTGTGGTGACCATCTCACAAATCTACCCTACTAATCTATCTGCCTTTGGGCAGCAGTGATATATATTTTCATTTAATATTTATCAAATAATGCATATACATACTTTAAGAGGTCAAACAGTGCTTCTAGGCTTATAAAGAAAAACTACAGAAACCCCACTGTTGATTCTGTTTCCAAAGCACTCATCAAATCCTTTAGCTGTTTCTTCTAATATTTGCTCTTTATTTCTAAATAACATGCTTATCCTATGCTACCTTGATTTTTTTTCAGGTTCAGATATATTCTTTCTTTTATTTTTTACTATAGAACAGATGTTCAACCCTTTTCATCTCATGGCACACATACACTACTAAAATTTTGTGGCATACCAAAAAACATATTTTTTGCCAATCTGACAAAAAGTAGGTGTAATTTTGATTTGCTCACACCAGACAACTACTGTTGTGCTGACCACCGTTATTTTTTTTTATTTGACAATCTAAGAGAAAAAGGTCAGTTCCCTGACTAGTCAGGTATTGCATGTCTTAAAAATTCTTGCGGCAAAATGGTTGAAAATCATTGCCAGAGAAGATAAAGACTTTTTCTCTTATACCATCGATCTACCTATCTCCTTTCCTGCCTCCATCCTGATGTTCTTTTTGACATATCACACTTGATGTAAGCAATATTACATTAAAACTATATAAACATTATTCATGGCTGAACCATATACTGAATTATGATTATTGTTCTTGTACAACTTGTTGCTTTTCCTAGTTAACAACTGCTGTATTTTTCTCTTCCTTGTTTTCTTCTATTATCTATCATTAATTTAGCTAACTCTACAACAAAAGTATAAATCTCTTATTGTACTCCAACACATAAACTCACCCATCAAGTTTGTTCCCCACTCTCTTAGAAATATTCTCCCCTCTTCTTGCTCTAATCTGAACTGGTAACTCTCTAAAAGCTGCTATTCAATTGTCATTCTGGGACTCCTCTTTCATTATCTTAATAATCCCCAGTATCTTCTTCCTGGATAGGAACTCATTTTCCAGATCTCACAGTGTTTCTTCATTACTTTCTCATGTAGTGAAGCATACACAACTTTTGGTGTAAATCTGAGAAAAGTGTTGTGGGACTGAATCTTTGCACTCAGGTGTGTGGGAATGTCTTTAGTCTGCCCTAACATTTGATTGATAGTTTGGCAGGGTATAGAATTATCTAGTTTAGTAATTATTTTCCTCAGAATTTTCAAGGCATTGCTTCACTGCTCCATCTGTTGTTGATAACATTGTTACATGTGGTCTGTTTTCTCTCTCTAGAAGTCCTTTGGATATTATTATGATCTGCAGGGTTCTAGAATTTTAACGAGCATTTAGTGTAGTTCTTTCCTCATGTACTAGGTGTTAGGTTATTTCTTTATCTGAATACACACACCCTACTATTCTGAGAAATTTTCCTTTGTAGTACTTTCCTTGATAACTTTCTGCCTTTTATTTTTCCTTTCTAAAATTTTATTATTCAGTACTGAATTTCATAAACTACTACCCTACCATCTCTTTGACTTTTCATCCTGCTGAATTTTTTAAATTTCTGCTATAATATTTTTAATATCCTAAAGTTTTTAGTCTTTTGTTGTTTCATTGATGAAATACCTTTCTCTTCTTTCTGATGAGATTAATTTTCCAGTTCTTTCCTGCTTCTCAGCACTGGGTTGTTCTATCAGGTTCCTTTTGTTTCTGTTGTGGTGTCTGTTATACTGACCAAAGATTTCCCTCAAATATTTGGTGATCCCGATTGTTTATGGGACACTAAAATATTAATTGAAAACGGTGTGGATGGGTGGTCATAACCTTCCAACCAATGGGTTTCACAAGCAGAGATCTGGCTATTTCCTTCAGGAACTCCCAACTGTCACTATCTCCTAGTCTTTTCTCTCAGGCAACACAATATTCCAGAAGATGCCTTCTATCTCCCACACTGGAAACAAGCAAGACTGTTAGTGCTTTGAAAAATCACCAGAGGTAAAGAATTGGAGGCCTCAACATTTGATTTAATTTCCCTCTCTTTATTCTGTTTTTTTCCTCTGTGTTAAAGATGTACTTCATTTGTGTTAGAGTTTAATCTGGTTCAACCACTCACTCTAGAGAGTAAGCCTCCAGCCTCTGCCTGGGTAGTGTCCATTCGCTACCCTGTTTAGCCAGGAATCTGCAGAATAAACTGCTTTAAAAATGTTAAATCAATTCTATTTTTGGCACCACCCCAAATCCTTGCCTTCAGAGATAATGGAAGCTCCCAGACCCAAGACAGTCTGAGGTTCTACTGTATATGAAATGATTTAATTCTTAATTCCATTCTCCCCATGAAAGGTTTAGGTTTCACCTTTCTTCTAAGAGAGTTTACCATTCACCTTGTATAGTCACTTTCAAGCTTCTACATTGTGGATTCTCTTATCTGGTGTCTCTTCTCTCTAGTTCTCTTAAGATTTTTCTTTTCATTTCCTTGTCATTTTAGTAGGGTTCTGGGAGAGATCAGAGAATTAAACAGGTGCTCAATCTGCTATGCTTAACTTAAAGCCTGTCTTATTGTTTCAATTCATCATATCTCAAATATGTCTTGTGAACCACTAATCCCAAAAGATGTTTCATGAAAACATTTCTTTCTATAACATAACCCCATAGAGTAAAGGCTCTGAGCTTAGAACCCAGTGCCTGGCAAGCACCCAATTAAAGTTTGATCAATTTATTTCAAAATTAATAAAGCTATAATTAAATTAATATAGAATATATTTAAAGAAGCATTCCATTAAGAAATTCATGAAAAGGGGATATTTTTATATATAACACCATTATAAACTCTTAGCCCCAAGAGCAAAGTACATAAAGGAGGTTAATATTTTAAAAAGTAGCATAATAATTCAGTTATCTAGTTTAACTGAAGAACGAAAGTGACATTTCCTTAACAAATTTGCCAAAAGGTATGCTAACCTTGTACAATACTACTAGTAAGGCAACACTAGCTTCATTAAATGAAAAAATTAGGTTAAATAGTTTATATAGTTTTCCTAGAGTCATAGATGATTTAGTTGAAAAACCAGTATAAAACTCAAAGGGCCAACTTCCACTAAGATTGTCTAGTAAGCCTAAATATTAACTAATGTTCTACTAATAATTTCTAATCCAGATAAAAGAAGTTCAGAATGTCATATGCTCTATTCATTAGTTTGTGTATAACATAAATAATTCCAGGTACAAAGTCACACATAAATGTTCAAAGAACAGCCCCTTCCTGCTTCAAAAAACTTGAAGAAATTAAAGTTGGTAAAACTCAGTTCTTCTAAAATCTATCCAAGCAACCCTAAATAAAGAGATGGACATTTTCTCAAGATGTTCTTTTATGAAAAGAAATTTAAATTATCCTTAAGATGCCATGCTTCTTGTTCAGTGTAATTGAGTAAATAAAGATGTACTTCATTTGCACAACTTCCCAATAACTCTAGCTTCACCTTAACTTTGTTAGTTCTTGCTCAGTCATGATAGTTTCATTACTGCCCCTGAATTCTTAGACAATTTACAGGTTCTCTGAGTCTTCTAATAAAGCCAGTTGTTAACATCTAAGAAATCTCATAAGAAATGAGAAAATTAAAGGTAATAATTCTTAAAGACTCTATGGTTTATGAACTTTATGAACTTCAGCCTGAAAAAAAAAAGACTGATATCTAGCACATTCCTGAAAGGTAAGGCAACATAATCAAGGTTAGTTGGTCCACTAAGTATGGAACAGACACTATACTGTCAAAATGATAATTGATTCTATATTATGAATTTTTTAAATCTCAAAAGTACATCCAAATAAAGCTACCAGAATAAGGCAGTAATCTGAGTTACAAAGGTTGCAGACAACCATAAAGTGAGAGGTTTTAAGGTGGGTAACATGAACTCCATCATGCTTTAGATTATTCTGTAGTGAGAAGAGTCACTGGATATGTTAGCTCTGTGACGTTGGCCAAGATATTAAGCCTTTTAAAATTGTTTTAAAGTTTATAATTAGGAACTATTTTAAACATTCCATAAAGTACCCAAAATGACACCTACAGAGTAGGTATAATTAATGTTAATATTTAGTCATTTTTACTTACATCGATCTATTTGTTTCCCTCCTTTCACTAGAGGAAGCTACTTTCCTGAAATTAGTGGTATCATTGTCACACTTATTACTTAAGCTTTCCAAGTTTTAGTTACCTGTTTGTTACACCCATTGATCAGTTACCTTTCATTTTCAGAGAGTTGTAGCCAAGGGTAATCAAATAAGTACTTAATAACATTATCACTAGTAAATACTATATAGAAAAACACAATTACTACCCATAAGAAACTTAAAACCTAGGGAAAAAACACAAAACAAGACAACATACTGTCACTGAAGTTAACTCTACAACCTTGAGTTATGCTATGTGCTACTATGAAGGGAAAATGGTCAAATTCTTAACAGTACATCTTTTTAAATTACAGAAAATTTTAAATATAAAAGGAAAACAACCTAAAACCAATATCCCAACCTCTATAATTATTAATTCATGTCTAATGTTAACTTATCTACTACCTGCTCGAGATCATTTTGAAACAAATTTTTTACATCAATTGTATTATTGTATTTATACAATTGTATCAAATGTATTTATACATTGTATAAATATTTCAGCGTATAACTAAGTCTAAAAGATAAGTGCCCTTTGGGGGGGGGGGGGAAATCCATAACACCCTTATCACAATTAAAAAAAAAAAAAATTAAAAACCCCATTAAGCCCTGACCAGGTAGGTGGCTCAACTGACTGGAGTGTCATCCCTGCACACCAGAAGCTTGCAGGCCTGACCCTCAACCCTCCTTATGGAGCGGGGGGTAGGGCCGGCAACAAAACAATGTGTCTTTCTAGACTCTCTCTTTCTCTCCCTTCCTCTCTCTAATAATCAATAAGCACATCCGCAGGTGAAGATAAAACAAAAAATACTAATAATTCCTTAATATCAAATACCTAATGTTAGATTCTCCCCAACTGTCCATAAAGTTGTATTTTTTACAACATATTATAATATGGATACAAATAAGATCTACACATTGTGAGTGGTTGGTTGAATGTCTCTCTTTTTAAATCCTCACCCAAGGATATGTTATTTTTTTACACTGATTTTAAAGAGAAAGGAAGGATGAGAGACAAAACATTGATATGAGAGAGAAACATTCTTCAACTGCCTCCCATACATGTACCTCCACCCAGGTTCCAACCCACAACCGAGGCTTGTGCCCTGACTGGGAATCGAACCCATGACCTTTTAGTGTACAGGATGATGCTCCAAACAATTAAGTCACACAGCCAGGACTCTCCGTCTCTTAATCTACAGGTTATCCTCCATCCCTATTAAACAACTTGGCACTATCTGACTGAAGAAACCAGGCCACCTGTCTAAATTTAGCTTATTGCATCCTCTTACTTAACATGAATATCTCTCTCTGTACATCTAATAAATTAGTAGTTAGACTTAATGAAATGCAGGTTGGTTTTTAGGGTTTTTTTGGTCACACTATTGCATATTTATTGTTATATCCTTCTATTAGAAGGTTATTTAATGTATGGTTGTCTTTCCTTTTGTGATGCTAACACCCACTGCTGATCACTTCCTAGAACTATTAATTCCATTAGTGTACAAAATGCTAATATTCAAATTCTATATTTTTGTCTTCAATTAAATTATTTGCCAAAATACTTCTAAAAATATTTAGCTTTCCTTTACCACCTGTTCAATTATCTTGATACACAGTTTACTTAGGGAAGCAAGATAGATGCCTGGATCTTTCCTTTTTACATATGGTCCAGTTTTCACAATGAGTTAACTTTTTAGCATCCTCCAAAATTGACCATTTAGTTAAAATAATTTTTTTAATCCTCACCGCAGGATATATTTATTGATTTGAGAGAGAGAGGAAGGGATAAAGAGGGAAAGAGAAACATCCATTTGGTGTACAGGAGAGAACGAAGCTCCCACCAACTTAGCTACTTGGCAAGAGCTGACCAATTAATTTTTATGTTTACTTAAACCTGAGTATTTTCATTAAACATAATACCTAAATACAACCAACTATTTCACCAGGTATATAATGTATTCCAAAGCAGAAAAGAAAAATAAAACTGGCCATGTTAGAGGTATTTAAATTACCAAGTAAAAAGCAACATTATAGAAAAACTAAATAGATAATTAGTAAGTAGCTAGCACCCAAAAAATGAATCCAAACTCATTCATTTAAGACATTTCCACATAATTACCTTAATCACCCACTTATAAAAGTAAAATGAGTATTTGACAAATGACTTCAGATGTCCAGACATCTTCACTTAAGTAAACATGACATTAGGTTATAGGCCTTGGACAATGTTAACCTTCTGGCATGAATAAATTTCTTTAAGAACTATAAAATTAGCCATCCAATGTTAAATTAGCTTAAGATATCCACTAAAAACTTGTTTAGTAAATCAATTCTGAATTGTAAAAAAATCTCAAATGCAAATCAATCATAGATTCTTGTGGTTTTTACCACACTGAAATACTTTAGGTAAGATTTGCCTAGGTTTCTCTCTCTAAGAAGAAGTCCAGGCAACAGATATATACATAAAGAGAAAATTGTATTAGTCTTAAAACAAAGATCAACATAGTGAGAGCAGGCCAAATTATCTAGAGAAAATGTATAACATCATTTAATCTTAAGAAAGATTAAATTTATATCAGATCCAGTAATTACCAAGTAAATTTTATATCAGATCCTATAGTTACCAAGCAAAGTCTATCCATTAAAAAAGGATTCTAATCTACAGCAATGCCAAAGAAATTTGATATCTAAGATTCTTTAACAAAAGAAAAATGTTAATCTAATCATTAAGTCCTTTAATATAATTTCACTTTAATAGTGAAATTATATTAAATAATATAGTAAATATAGTAAATATAGTAAATAGTAAATTATCAAAGGCAGAACACTTATTAATCTGTAAATCTGGAATCTATAAACCTCTGAGATTATGTTAATTAAATTCAGAAATCACAGTAACAATATTAAACTTGGTATTCATAATGTAAAAAAATCAAGTGGATTATCATTTACCTTTAAGAGCAATGAATTCATTAATTCGTTATATCTATGAAGAAATTCATTGCAACCTAACCTGGAAATTAAATGCTCACCTCCTTGCTTAGGAACAGTTCACAGTAAGTTGTTCTTTCAAACAAAACAAACAGGCTGAGCTCCAAGGAGGAGTCACAAGATATTATTGTGCCATTTTTCTCAGGATCTGCCCCAAATGATTCCTGTATTGGAGAACTATGTACTAGGTAAGAACACAAGACAGTATACTGAATATTTAACTGCTTGTATAGATAAATATGTAAAAGGTGCTTTATTCCAAAACAAAGTTTCAAATTAGAAGTATGGCTACAGCCAAACCACCACTTCCTCTGGCAATATGAATTAACACTGGCACTGTCACAAACTTCTCTTGCTACTACAATTACTGGTCCACTAGGTTAGTTTATCCCTTCTCCCCTAAGTTCTTCTGCACTAGTGAGTGAAGTAAGACCATAACGTATATAGGCTGCTAGGCACCAAGTAATTGAAAAATATCCTTTTCTTCTTTGCCTTTCTCTTTCTCTCACTTACTCATGCACTCTCCCCTTCCCTTCCTCCAAGCTTAGCATAAAATAAAAACGGGCAGGGAAAAGCATGATTCCATGAAAGCAGTTTGCACAGGATTTCACAGAATGGACAGAGCTCGAAAGAGTTCTGTGCATGACTGTTTTGCAAACCAAAATGTTACTAGTAAGAACTCTGACTCAAGCACGAAAGTGAAAAACCAAAAAAAGGTAGAAAACAGAAGTAAAAAGCCACTTACTATGCATCGTCAAGTCATAAAACTTTGCACTTAATAGATCTTCTCCTATGATTTTTTTCCTGTAAACATCAAAAAAGAGGTGAAATAATTAAGAGGAAACTGCCATTTTGCTCATTTATTACCAATTCCTTGCCTACCAAAATGAAATTTATTAAGCACTGAGTTTTAAATTCTAGCAAAGAAAGAATAGCTAGTTGCTGTTCCCCATTCCAGTGACTGACAATGGAGGTTTACTACCAATAAACAAAATACCATTGCAATCCCTTTCTCTAGAACTGGCAGAAATTATCAGAAAGAAAGGGTGTCTGTCAGGGTTTTACTGCTTCAGAAGGGTCAAGCAACACTGAATAGAAAGACTCTGAAAAGAATAAACTGTAAACACCCAATAGCTAAAAGATTTTCCACCTTGGGAGAAATCATTTAAGAGTCTGACTTGATGGGCAAAGCAAATTACCTATTTGTATGTTATTTCTGCACAGTACCCCCTACCATAAATCCCTGAGAAAAAGCAGTTAAGCATGAGGACCACCTCAACCGTGTTACACAGACCCATTGTATGACCCTATTATAGGCCATATAGTGATGACCACTGCACTCTCAGCAAGAGCCAAGAGAACTGGAGTAATTCTGAGAAAGCACAAAAATACATATCTATGACACTGTCACAACCAGTGTTAGGAGCTGTATTAAGAATAAAGTTGGCAAAGGTATTTCTTAATTATGCCTGGGAAAAATGTGCTACTATCTGCCATGTAAACATATGCATGAATCAAAACTGACTCAGATACAGTTAAAAGGAAATGTAAGTAAAATCAAATCTAATGCAGTTAACATGGGTTTACAGGTGGGCTCTTGTACTGGGTGTTTCATGAATCCCTTAAAATCATATACAAAGTTTTGTCTGTAACTATGTTTTATAACATGATTTTCTGGAAGAAGGTGTCTATACAGTTTTCTTCAGATTCTTAAAGAAGTCCATAACTTCCCAAAAATTAAGATCTAGAGAGCTAGAGTGTTATAAATTAGTGACATGATTCAATAAATCTCAGACTTCTGTCAACTATTTTGGTAACTAAATAAATTTATTCTCTAAGAAATTAATATTCTGATGAAATGAACTAATGAATTATAGGTTTAATTATGAATTTGACAGTATACTGACTTAACCATACAACTTTTGGACAGCTCTAAATGTATTTCAGATCAAAACAGACTTAAATTTTGTAAATACCACAAGCTATTTTATGCCTTAATAATAAATTAATTTCCAGTACGTTACGAACTCAACTTAGGTAAAAGATATGTTAGATACCTATTATACTTGAGTACTAAGCACTGTATTTCTAGGTAATTATGCTTCAATAATAAGAATTAAACAAATCCAAACATGTTAAATCTTTTAAAAATGTAAACATTTGTTACAGTAGATAGCAAGTGCCTGCTACAATACAAAGAAGCAAAATGAGAAAGATAATAAGTACTTTAAATAACTATCTCATGAACAGTGAGTTACATCATTGGTTACTTTCTACTTTTTGTCCATAAAGACTAAAGCAGTGCTACTCAAAAATATGGTCTCAGTACCACTGCTTATTCATTGTTGGTTGTGATTATGTGCAAAAATGAGTAAGCATTCATAAAATTTAACAAAAACTTTACACTGTTGTAACATTTTATTTTATAAAAATACCAATATAAAAGCAGATTAGGATAAAAACTAAGAAAACCAATTTATCAAAGATAGAGCTCAAATTATATTTTCAGATTTCAGCTGGTCCTTCCTTAAATTATTAAGTGTATGCTTTAAAAGAAGCAATTAAACACATTTAAACCACATATCATTTTTTTAAGTACTCAGTTTTTCTTTAATAGTTACTTTCTGGTTCTACACATTTTGACTCCACTTCTTAAGTTCATTACTAACCTCATACAGGTTTTAGAATTTTCATGACTGAAGAGCTGTTTCTTAAAAGAGCTTTCATTTATCTTATCTTTTGTTTCTCTTGACTGTCTTTGTACTTGAACCTATGAGAAAAGCAAAACCACCTATTTAGAGTAATAATCTAGCATCACAAATGATAACCTATCAATTTTCCCTTGAAAAGATAAAAAATTAAAGAAACAAAATTGTCTGAATGAAATTCTAGCCCAAGTACATATGCTTATTCATTCAAGCATGCTAAACCATAAACTTAATACCTGTGCTAAGCTCTGGGAAAACAAGAGTAGGAGATAGGCACATAAACAGATTAAGTGCTCATAGTAGAGATATAAGCACAGATCAGCATATGCACTGACTGAAAATTAACTCTAGGAAAGACTTTAATGAGTAAATGATTTATGAGTTGGCCTTAGAGAATAAATAAAATTTGTCTAAAAAAAATTACTCTAAATTAAGAAAAAAACACAGAAGCCAATGCAGATGGGAAGATTAGTAGGCTATGAAGTTGATGTAAAGTATTAGGACTGGATTATAAAGGGCCATGAATAATGAAATAATTCTATAGGAATTAGAATAAGTGAGGTTTTTAAAGCAAGTCAAAGAGATGATGGAATTTGTTTTTTAGGCTTAATTGTGGCAGTGATGTGAAAAATGAAGCAGTTAAGGAAAGACTATAAAAGCCAGGAAAGGAAACCCGAAGAAAGCTCTTAGAATACATGGTCAAGATTTACACTGAGAAAATAGTAACTAGCCACAGGTGCTCCTGAGCACTTGAAATGCGGCTAGTCTGAACTGAGACGTACTGTAAGTGAAAAATATACACAGGATTTCAAAGACTTAGAACAATAAAATGGAAAAAATCTCTCAATTATTTTAAAATATTACATATTGAAATAATATAGCAGATATGTTGGATTAAATAAACTACAAAAATTTGTTTTTGTTTTTTACTCTTTTAATATGGCTATTAAAAGGTTTTTTAAAGGTTTTACTTATTTGTTTTTAGAGGGGGGGAAGGGAGGAAGAGAGTGTAAGAAACTTCAATGTGAGAGAAATACCGATTGGTTGCCTCTTGTATGCACCCTAACCAGGGACCTAACTTGCAAGCCAGGCTCATGCCCTGCCCAGGAATCGAACTGGCAACCTTTCAGTTTGCAGGACAACACCCAACCAACTGAGCCACGCTGGTCAGAGCATGGACATTAAAATTTTAAAATTACACAGTGGTTTGTATGTTTCTATTGGCAGAACTGGTCCAGATGGCAGCATGACAGCCTACAAAGAGTTAATAGCAGAGGCATGGAAAAGGAACAAATTTGAGACATTGAGCAGAAGTAACAGGCAAACATGGGGCAGAGAATAAAAAATTAAAAACACCCTGATGATTTTTGGATTTGTTAATTTTAGATTCCTTTTGTATTATAGATGGAGATATCTAACAAGTGGTTGAAAATACAAGTCTAGTTCTATGGAAAAAGATCTAGGCTAATGACAGAACTTTAAAGAAGATCTAGGGAGACAGTATACCTAGAGAATTGAAAGGAAGATCATAAAAGGCAGGGGTCCCCAATGTCCACCCCGTGGACCAGTACTGGTCCAGGTCATTAGGAACAGGGCCTCGCAGCAGGAGATGAGCTTGAATGTAATGCACCTGAATCATCCCTATACCATCCCCACCCCTGCCCCCATCCCTGGAAATATTGTCTTGCACGAAACTGGTCCCTGATGCCAAAAAGGTTGGGGACTGCTGCAAGGAGTCCCAGTGATTTAAGAAGAGGTAAGGGGAGCCCCAACCAGGTTGCTCACTGGTTAGAGTGTCCTCCCAAAACGCCAATGTTGCGAGTTTGACTCCCAGTCAGGGCACATACAAGAAGCAACCAATGAATGCATAAATTAAGTGAAACAACAATGGAACAACAAATTGATGTTTCTCTCTCTCTCAAATCAATAATTAAAAAAAGGTAAGGAGGGCAGGGAGGTGGGAAGGAAGATTGTAAAGGTCAGATAAGTAAAACGAACACATACATAACACATACTTACATACATACCCATAAGAGAAGTATAACCTAGAAGCCAAAGGAAATAAGAGCACTCAACAGCATTATATGCAGAAATGATGGGGTTGGCTAGTCGGCAGTTTATTCTGGCCCTTAGTGAGGACAGTTTTAGTAGAACAAACTGACAGAGGTCAATGTTCACTGGAACTGGGAATTGAGAAAATGAAGTAAGCAAGTGTAGATGCCTCATTCAAGTTCAGTTGTAAAAGGAAAAAGGTAATAAAGTGAAGAGTCAAAAGAAGCAAAGGTCAAAGGAAGATATTTAGAGTCCATACATTGATAATGTCATATATAAGAAATCCCTTTCAAGTTTGACAACGGTGCACCAAAATTTTAAGCACAAACACTATTAATAAAACAAAATTTTTTATTCCAAGCAACAGAACAAAATCTTACCGAAAAATATCTTTGGACACTAGCTCATGTTAATGAATCATTAGCAATATAACATACAGTCTAGAAAACCAGAGAACATGTCTTTCAGAGAAGTCATGCTTTAATTTAGATTATAACACACTAATATCTTTTCTTCAAGATGTATGCTAATTTCCATAGATGTCCACACTTAAACAATTACCATAAAATCATTTTTCATGTGTCTTTGTATTTTTTTATTTTTTTAAAGATTTTATTTATTTGTTTTTAGAGAGGGAAAGGAGGGAGATAGATAGAGAGAGAGAGAGAGAGAGAGAGAGAGAGAGAGAGAGAGAGAGAAACATCAATGTGTGGTTGCTGGGGGTTCTGGCCTGCAACCCAGGAATGTACCCTGGCTGGGAATCGAACCTGGGGCACTTTGGTTCCCAGCCCGCTCTCAATCCACTGAGCTACGCCAGCCAGGGTGTGTCTTTTTATTTGAGTTGCAGTCTTATTTGTACATCGAGACACATCTACTAAAAACCTACCAAAACAAAGTATGAATACCTAAAATGAGACCATCTAATTCTTAAACAGTTGTATTCCATACCCCTTCCTACTCACACAGACAGCAAACAAGTTTACAGTTGATTTACAGTACTACCTGGGAACAGTTTGCTTTCCCCATCAATGGCATTGTTTATATATATATTTTTGAGTATTCTCTTTTTAGCTCTATCATTTGTGACTTATTAGAGATACTGCAAGAAATCTCTTTCTTAAAGACAAATACCACATGATTTCACTTATATATGGAATCTAATGAATAAAATAAAATAAAATAGAAACAGACTCACAGATAGAGAACAGACTGATGGCAGTCTGAAAGGAGGGAGGTTGGGGGGCTGAGTGAAACAGGTGAAGGAATTAAGAAAAAAAACTCGCAAGACATAGACAACAGTATGATGATTAGGGGAGGAAAATGGAGGTGGGGGCAAGTAAGAAGAGGGTAAAGGGGGATAAATGATGATAAAAGGAGACTTGACTTTGGGTGGTGAACATATAATGCAACAAACAGATAATGTATTTATAGAACTGTGCACTTGAAACCTATATAATTATAACCATCACCTCAATAAAAATCAATAAAATTTTAATTAATTAACTAATGAATTAACTTACTCTTAAAAACTGTCAAGGTCATAGAAAAAAAAAAGCCTGAGAAAATGTTGCAGATTGAAAGAGATGAGACATGACAAATGATTGTAACACATGAGCAAAGACTTTCTTTTGCTATAAGGGACATTGTTGGAACAAATAACAGCATCTGGTTAAAATATATTAATTATTTTTAAAAATCTCTTTCTTAGACAGTTTACTTAACCATTTACTGTCCTTTTCTCTTTTAACCTTTTACTCATAAACTCAGGAATGTGTTCCAATTTCTTTTTTCTTTTATTTGTAAGCCAAAAATGTGCATACAAATCATAATCATGGTTCCTAGTAATTAACACCAATGAGATATGTACAGTGCATGTATCTCACAGACATGATTAACATCAAGCATTACAATAAAATTACACTTAATAAAAGAATAAAGTCATCTGCCTATGCCAACCTTGAAACTCTGAGAAGTCCCTCTCAAGATTTCCACAAACCTCCTTATCTTTCTCCAGTTAAACTCATTTTCCTTTAAGGAAGCACCAGAATTTAAGATCAAAGACACCATTTTACATTTAATTTTACCATCTTTATCTCCTCAACATTATGTTTTCTTTTATGAAAACATACCTTTCAGATATTCTGGACTTAAGTTTTTTACAGGGTTGGTCTTTGAATCTAATAGTCCATTTCAAATATTTTTTAATTAAAAAATGTATTCAAGGCACTATCCAATTAATCAACAGATACAGACATCCTTACAGTAACAATATTCTAAAAATTGAAATATTCTGTAACTAAGACTTAATGTGAAACTACTTTTAGGGATTTCATACATTTTGTAAAAAACATAATATGACTACAATGAACATGTCCTCTTTAAGGGGCAAAGTAAAAAAAGAGTTGGAATTTCTGAATCCTTGTAGAAAACTTGAGTTTTTTATGCTGCAGAAGAATGATAATAGCATATTAAACCTAAAGTTGAACAAGTCACAAATTTACTCAAACTGGAGATCTTTTAAAACAAACTGAAATAAGTTTATACTGTTCATGTTGCAAAATAAAATATAAGCCTTACCTTAACACAGCCTTCCAACGCGCTGACTTTAAACACTGCCTGGAATGGTTTTCGGTCAATAGGGCATGAAGCCAGTGTCTGAAAATTGATTAACAAAATAAAACTTGAGAAACGTTTCCTTGGAATAAATGAAAATTAATCTATAACAAACACACTTATGATAAGCTTTCCACTGGAACAGGAAACAGAAAAATATTTTTTCTTCTTTTAAGGGTGAGGATGAAAAACTTTCCACCTGTATCCTGACACAGAGTAATAAATACCTTAAATTTGTTTAATTCATTCAAATATGAAGCATCTACTGCATTGTAGGTAGGTGGAATACAATGATGAAGAGAGAAAAGATCTCTATGATCAAGATAATACCTATTGAGACCTACTTGTCCAGTTGAGAACTCCTGGGGTAATGAAAACAGAGCTGGGCTGAAACCAGTAACTCTGTGACCTAAAGCTCTTGGGCAACTTGCTATCACAGCTGTAAAAGGAATAGCTTGTGCAGGTCCCTTACAGATTTTAATATTCTATGGCAATAATGTCTCCAAAATTAATTATTTTAAATAGGTGGTTAAACCAGCAATAAACATTTTTTAAAGATATGAAGAAAATGAAGGATTCCTCCACTCCCTCCCTCCTAGACGTCCTCTCCAGAAGTATGGCATTTTGCCATGTATAATGCGCATTTTCTGCCCACATTCTGAGGGAAAAATAAGGATGCACACTACACATGGGTAGTACTAATTCCCTATCTATATAAATGTTTTTAATTCTTTTATTTATGCTTATGCATTAAAAGTGTAACCCTAAAAAGCAATAATGATATCTGTATGCAAAATACCCTGGAATATGATAATGTTTTGTTTTTAGAAATAAATAAATAAATAAATAAATAAATAAATAACTGAATTAAAAAATTAAAATGCAAGATTTCCCCCCCCTGAAAGTTTGGGCCAAAAATGTGGGTGTGCATTATACATGGGAGCTTATTATACACGGGAAAATATGGTAGTTCCTTATATATCCTTTCAGAGATAACCAATGAGTGTATATATATATATTTTAATATAAAATATAATTAATTCATATGCTGAATTGAATTCTGTCTCTTAGTTATGTGTTTTAGTTTGTATTACCACCTCAGAGCTGCCTCATTCTTAATAGTGTGGTATGCCATATTAGTTTTAATTTTACATTTTCTTCTTTGAGTTAGGTTGAACATATATTCATGTTTTTATAAGTTTTCAAATTGCTTTAAAAAAAAAAACTGTCTATTCATGCCCTTTGCCTAGCTTTTTTTTAAATTAGGTTGCTGGTCCTTTCCAAATGGAATTGTGAGCATTCTCCATAGACTAAGAAAAATTGTCCCTTAATCATTCTGTCAATCTAAACCAACTTTATTTTCATCTAAATATATTTCCTATACCTTAAAAACTGATGTGAATTAACTATAATTAAAGAGTTCCTCTGAATCCTTCCCAGGTAGTTCAGTTGGTTGGAGCATTGTCCCGATACACCAAGATTGTGGGTTTGATCCTCCATCGGGGCACATACAATAACAACCAATGAATGCATAAATAAAGGGAACAACAAATTGATGTTTCTGTTTCTCTCTAAAATAATTTTTTAAAAGAATTTCTCTGATAATACTATTAAACATTTGCACAGGAATGGGTTTGTATTATCTGAACAATTTAAGATGGAGCTGTCTACCAGAATAGAAGAATAGATCCTACAGCCTATGGCAAAAACACTAAAAGGTGGTATTATTAATACCTATGGTTCAATAATTCAAAAGTCAAACAGGATTTTAACAATTTAATATTAATAGTCTAAAAGACCACATATAGTAATGGAATTTTGATAAAATCTTACATTCCCTAGTGAAAAACTGTTGTGATTTTTACCATTCTGGACTTTGGTTCATATCGAGATATGCTTGTACAAGTTGCAGGCAGGTCAGACTATGTGAGGCCAGTGATTATATATTTTCACAAAGCTTGCAACTCACTTTGGAGCAACCAAAATATAAATTGAGTTACTTTTATTACTGTTAAAGTAAGTAAGCCCTGATAAAATGCTTTATTTACCACATCTGAATTAGGAAATGTGACCTTACTATATATTAAATTGGTTCAGATAGAATCCAGCTCAGCTTACTTTTAAGTACTATAGATTTAAGATGCTGCTATTTTCCCCACAGAAAACTTGACCTTAAGCTTTACTACAAGTAATGACAAAGGTGTCCACATCTTTTTAATAATGCACTGCCAAGAGCAATTCTAGTTCAAGGAACTCAACATCATGATTATGTGTGGTTGTGTTTACCACATTAGCATTTACTGTATGTAATTCTTAGTCTAGGGGTTAATACATTTATAATTCAAAAGAATAAGTAAAAACTTTCAAGTACTCATTTTTATGAAGTTTCAAAACATACTTTAATTTCTATTAAAGGTAAATTTTGATAAACATTCCTAAAAAGATAAAATAATAAATGAAAATGTGTTTCCTTCAATGTTTTTTAAAAAACTATTTAGACAATGTGTAGAGGCTCTGGATTTACATTGTACTTTTATATCTTGTCCTTGGGTGTAACCCTGTGCAAGTCAAATAGCCACCCTGTATCTCAGTTACATTACTAGTGAAAATGGGGTTAATAATATAACTTATTTCTAAAGTATTTATGGGAAAAAGGAACGGAAATTCTTAGAAGAGTGTGTGATATATACTAAATATTGTATAAACTCCACCAACTAGGTTTGCTGGACTAACAATAAAAAGGCCTGGCTGATTAACAGAAAGATAACCCTCACTATGATGTACAAGTTACATACACATGTGAGAGACGTGAGTTCTTCATGACTTTTTGTTGGACTTGCAAAAGTTCATGACATGTAAAAAGTAAAGTTTGTCATTTTATTATATCTATTCCAATATGTAATACTTACTAAGATACAAAGAAAGCCACTCTGTGTGTTCAAAAAATTTATTCTATATCAGATGCACTGAATCTTTAAAAAACTCTGAAATTACACAATCCCACTTTCTTCTTTATTAAATTTCCTCTGTTGACATCAGCCAAATGATACTTTTTCCTTTACAATGTTCAAACTGACAGCTTTAACGTGAGCCATTCCATTCTGATCTGTTTTAAATAATGGGGTTTTGAGTAAGATTTTGTTTTTATTCTTTTTTACTTAAGCATAATTACCATGGATTTGTCTAAGGCTTCATTTGAAGGTTTCCACTGTTATTATAAAAACAAAAAGAAAAAAAAAACAGTAGTTGGAAAAATCACTGCTATCTATTATCACAATCTGCATGCATATACTTATACTTCCTAAAAATAATCTAGTTCACACTAGAAAGTAAAAGTTAATAGATTTTCTTTGATTCAGTCTCAGCCATGAGAAAAATTTCTTAAAACCGGTTACCCTCTCCAAGTTAACAAAAGCACAGGTTGGAAAACAAGCTACCTAGCATAGACAAAAATACCTTTGCTATGCTACTGAGAAATGATGATATTCATTTCTGACCACAAAACAGCTCTGCAAAGCATTTCAAAGGGGAAACAGAAAAGTCAGTTATTCTAAATTAAGTCTTCATAGCATTAAGTAGGTCTTTAATTTTAATGTTAAATGTCTACTGTAAGGAAAGTATAGAACTACTTCAATACAAGTTCAAAGACACCATCAATAGATACAAAGGCATGAAGTTATACATAATGTAATGAAAAAGTTTTACAAATATATCTTTTAAAAATTGTTCACATTGCTCTAATTTTAAGGCATTTCCAAAGGTACCTCACCCTTAGATCCAGCAGATATCCATTTGAAAAATCCAAAGACATTTTACTCTTAGTTTTCAAGAGTTTTTGCAACTCAACTAATTTTCTTTTTGAGTTGTGTGGTTGAGCATTTTACTGTGAATGCTCTGTACTAAGATTATATCAGCTAAGGAGGCAATTTTGATAGAACAAAAATCTTCCTAATGATTTCAATAAGACATACCCTAGTATTCTGAAGCGTTGTAAATTCCCAGCTCAGACAAACCCATATTTAAATGTAAGAAGAGGAAACCTTCCTTATTTGGGAATTCAGGATTCTTGATTTCTAATATTTCTTGCTTTCTGCTGCTGCTCTATCCTCAATCACAAAGGCTGCCTACAGATAGCCCCTCCTAGAGAGAGAGAAGCAAGTGTTAAAGATAAGTGCTTAAAGACTCTAAGTCTCAGTACCTATGCTTACAGCAAGGTTTGTATGTTCATGGGAATCTCTACAACATCTATCTTTGCTACTAACAAACACAGCACGTTATATAAAACTGCAGTTCAAAATCAAATAAAGATGACTTAGAAATGTAAACTATTACAGGTCAGTGCTTATTTTAAAGCTATTTACCGGGACATATCCTTTTAAGTTGATGGTTCCAAGATACCTAGCCTGGACCTCCAAAGAAGTGCTCAACCTGTAGTCAGCCTACATGTTCCCTACTACACTTAACCAGTTCTTTCAAGACAGTCCTTGTCAATCCGTATTAGTGAAACTGTGATTCTTTATAACAGATTTCAGGAATGTATTCCTAAAAGTCAAATGGCTATCAGTGACAAAATTAACACCGAGAAGGCATTTTCTCTAATTACTTAAAGGAAATCTTTCAGGTTCTCAACTATACAACAGTTGGGTAGAATTGCTTTTAATTTTTATTTCTTTTGATATTTAATAGTTAAGACTTTCTTTTTCTAATATAAAAACAGAAAATTTTATAAACTACTTGTATAAATCATTTTACAAAATCTGGTATTTAAAGTGAGGCCACATAGAAATATATATTATTTCATCCAACTGATAAAAAACAACTATGAAATGAAAGTCTATTACATATATGCTGTAGGTAATGAGTGTTCACAATGTAAAAATTTTCTTTGTCCTATTAAGGGTTTTACCAGAGGATTAATCTACAAGGTGAAAGCAATGGGGGATTTGAAAAAATCAAGTCACGAATTCAATTTCTGGAGAAATCAGAACTAGCAACCTCTTTAATTCACTTTAAGGATAAAGAGAGACAGCCCTGAATCACCT